CAAAGTAAAAATATATTCTGATTAAATATTTTCTGTATGCTATCTGAAAGATACACATTGCAAGTAAAGTCTTCTGAGAACATGAAGAACATATATGGGAGTAGTCATCATGGACTTGCCAAAGGAAAATCCTGCCTGAGCAACTCCATTACCTTGAATAGACTCAATTTATAATTTCTGAAATAAAGTAATAACAACAAAGATGGGAAAGGGCTACTTAAACATAAATAAGTAAAGCGGTATTAAAAAATCAAGACAATAAAAAAAAATGCTTTGTGGATTCCAAATGTCAGTGCAATTAATTGTTCCTCAATTTGGTGTGTCTCTAAAGGGTAAGTTTACAAAAAGCTTCCTCGTATCTCTTGAGAAGTGTCCTGGGTTAAGGTCAGTTCCTACTGGGATCGACTTTATCACAACAAACTAAGTTTATCATCAGATGTCTTAATTCTGAAGCAATCTTCAAAGGTATTGCCTAAGAAATGTAGTCTGCCTTCTGCCCAGCAAATGGAGGAGTGGAGGAGTAGTGACCAATGAAGTAACATGAGGCATCTGAAGGGCTGAAAGTTTAAAGTGCATGACAACTTTTAAAGAAAGGGGAAACTAGGAAACGATAAGGTGAAATCATAAAGACTAAAGGTGTTACAGAGACCCAAGATACACAATCGTTGCTCTCAACAGAAACTCAACACCTCACATGCAGTTTTCTTGCCAGTTTTCTGATTTCTTTAAAGAACTGCTTCATTAGACTCTTCATGAGATGAAAGAAAGAAAGAAAGAAAGAAAGAAAGAAAGAAAGAAAGAAAGAAAGAAAGAAAGAAAGAAAGAAAGAAAGAACATAGCTACTGCAAAACAAATCAACCACAAAAACATGAAAACCCCAAATAACTTTTTAATGCTATGGATTCAAATAAGAAAGATGTGATTCTTTTTTTACACTTGTCAACCTCTGTTAGCATAATAACCATGCGTAAGTGAGAAAGTAGTTTGTATTTGTAACACAGTTTTCCCTGGAATTAGCCAATTAAATTACACTGCTCATAGTTTAAACCCATCTGGAAATTAGGCACCACGCAGCCGCTCACTTGAAGCCCCTTCTCTCCCCTCAGCCCAGTGGAATGGGGAGGAGAATCACAGCAAAGCTTGCAGGTTGCAATAAAAACAGTTTAAGAATCAAAACCAAAGTAAAACACAGTAATAGTGGTAAATTATAGTAATCATGACAATAAAAAGGGAAGAACAAATGATGCACAGTACAATTGCTCACCATTCAGTGATGTCAGATCCCCCTTCCTGAACCCTGACTGGTCCCCCCTTCTGTGTAACTCCCCCAGTTCATATACTGGGCATGATGTTCTCTGGTGTGGAATATCCCTTTGGTCAGTTAAAGTCATCTGGCTATGCTCCTTCCCATTTTCTTTTGCATACCTTGTCTCTGGCAGAGCATAAGACAAAAAAAAAACCCAAAACCCAAAAAATCCCAACCCAACCAACCAAAAAAAAAACCTCACAAACCAGCACTAAATGCCTCCTCCCCCCCAAAAAACCACCAAACAAACACCCCACCAAACAAACAAACCACAAAATCCCAAACCAAAATCCCATTAACTAAATCAAAGTCCTTGACTTAAATAAACATAATTTAGCAAGAACCAAAACTGTGTTATCAACACCATTCTCATTCCAAATCCAAAACACAGCACTGTAACAGCTTCTGAAAAGGAATTAATTCTATCCCAGCTAAAATCAGGACAGTTACCTATATTGAACCAAGTCTTCACAGTCTGGGATCTCTGCACATTGCATGTCAGTGCTCCTCAGCATAGGTCCTTAGGGACAGCAGGGGCAGTTTGTCCATGGATTCAGAATGGAGGTAATTTATGCCTCTGTCATTACTGGTGTGCATGTCTATCCTTTGAGGAGATCTTTCTAGATCTAGATGAAGGAAATTCCTAACATCTGATTTTGTGGGGCCATAAAGGCTTCCCCTGGAATCCAGCAGTTCTCTTCTGGCACCTTAGGTCAAGGTATGTGATACAGAAAAAGTCTGTAGCTTCACAGGCACTATATCCTTTTTCTTACAATTGCAATAAGTCATTGTGGAATGGAAAGGGTCATACAGACGTGCCATGGTCATGCCAGAGTCTTACTCCAGCCATGTTAATTCCTACAGAGCATATAGTGTGTCAGAGACTATCATCAAAGTCCATATATTGGGTACACATATCTGTACTGAAGGATAACATTAGCATCACGCACTGTAACTACTTGCTCAAGTTATTAAGTATCACATACACTCAACTCCAAATGATTTTTGTCTATTTATTTCTAGTCAAATAATTATTTTATGGATATTTTTGTGCACTGTATAGGGAGTGAGGTAGAATTTACACTTTAAAATGCATGAATTTCATAGCAAAACTTTTCAATAGTTTTGTATGTCTTGATAGATGTGAGACTATTCTGGAAGATCTTGATGCGTAAAGAAGAAAATTAGGAATACTTCACATTAAGGCAAATTTTTTCTCGAGTGATATGGAGTTTCATTCAAAATTCATTAAAAATTGTGCATAATAGGTCTTCAATATTTCCTTCACTCTTAAATGATTCCTCTATTGTTTGACAAATATCAGTAACACACATAATGAAGAATTAAACTAAATTTAAAAAAAAAATCTTATTCAGTCATCCAGTTTCCAGTAAGGAATATTATGGTGGTGCTGCTCTAGGGACAGAATGGCATCTCAGCTGGTCCTGGATTAGTACTGGTGCTTGCTGCCCATCTGACAGTAAAGTGATAAAGCAGCAACAGCTGATGAGAGGCATGAAGAAAGTAATTTGAAGAGATCTGCATGCCTGAAGCAACTGGTGTAACTGCTTGATAATACACACCTGCTACTCCATGGCCATAGGCAGAATGCCAGGAAGAAGGCAGAGGAGGAAGGGAAACAGGGCTGAACCTCCCACTGTTATTGACTGGAAACAGAATAAAGGATGATAAGTGTTACCACTGGGACCATACAGAATGACAAAGCTAACAGCTTTCTAAACATAGAGCAGTGTAAGGTGTTTATATATTAAAAAATGTTTCATGAAGCAACACAAACAACATTGAAAGAGAGATTTCAGAATATGCTAATAAAATTGTGAAAAATAGGAAGAAAATTTTGGGAACTCTTCCTGTTGCGCAAACTTACTTTAAAAAAATCATCTTTACATCTCTTAAGATAAAAAAAAAAAAAGTACCCACAAAAGTAGAAATATGTATAATAGGAAAAGAAATATCTGTTTTTTATCCCAGTTTTGGTACTAGTTTCCTGTATTTAACCCTTTTATTTGTGATCACAAGAAGTGTGAATAAAGCAAACATTGTTCAATGTTTTACAAATTAGTTAAATGTTGTAGAAAGCTTTTATTGTGCTCTTTCAATGAAGAAGAAATTCTCTGGTCAAGTCAGGACTTCTACAAATGATATCAAGCCCCCCAAGATTTGAGTAGCTCAAGATTTGAATCAAACTTTGCAATTTGTTTTTTGGTTGTTTCCCAGTAGCTCTAGCTGGACAGTTATGATTAAGCAATTGCATTGCGAATGTTGTATGCTTGGCTAATCTTTTGTTTTAAGAAAAAAGGAAGACAATCCCAAGATGAATGGGCTGTCTGGATGAGAGCCACCAGGAGTGAAGTCAGCAGAACTCAGCAGTAACTGGGGGAAAGACAATTCTGGCTGTGACAGATTGTGACCATTGACTCATTGACCACCTACTTAAAGCAGATCCCAGACTCAACTGGAGGGAAGAACTGCACGTGCAGACTAATTAGCATGAGGAGCAAGAGATACAACTAATAGGAATTTGAGTACTAATTAGTAAAATAAATATGTATTCTGTAACCAGTGAGTGCCGATGCCTTTGTTTGTTAAAATGCATAGTCTTGATAATAAGGGAGCCAGCCTTTTTGGGTTATCTCCCTACACTGTGCAAACCAGAATAAAAAATTGAAATTCCTCAACTTGGTGTGTGAATTGGGGCTGCATATCAGGGAATAAGGAGCACGACACAATGGTTCACATCAACATTTCTGTTATTGTGGGAGCAATAATGGGGAATGACTCCATTTGGAGGCTGAGAACTTCTTCCTGAGCTTTGATATGCTGCTGATGTGTTTATTTTCTAAAGCAACACCTGGGTTTGCAGACTGTCTGTTTTGCCTGATGACTTGGAAAGCACTCTAGAGCAGATTCATTCAAAGGAACTATATGCTTGATTTACAGTACACATATTTTATAAAGGCAATTTTAAGTGCTTCAAGGGACAGCTGGAGGCAATATATCCAACATAAAATGCTTATACAGTGTTTTGAGAATGGAAAGTACACAAGAGCCAGACAGTTGAAAAAAAATATTGTGCCCAGTGAAAACTGGTAAAATTGAAATTGTTATAATAAAGATTAAGAAGCAATGGTATAGGTGGCTCAAACCTCCAAACAAACACATCCAGAAACAAACTCTAAATCCAGGTAAAGAACTGAAGAAGGGATGAGCTATAGAGCTTATCCATGGAAATTTCTGTATGCCTTCAGGTTTTGTGAATGTCTTTGCCTGAAAATGTCTACCAGTGACATGTCTACCTTTCCTCTGTGTTTAATAATGTTGTATGCAACTATTTACAACATTCCTTTGGAGTTTATGACGACAGTACCATCAAAGAGGGCAGACCAATATATCTACTTACATGACTAACACCTGTGTGCTGCTAAGTCTTTGAAAGATCAAGTTTGGAAACCTCCTTCTGATGTTATCTAATGATATAATTTGAACCAGGTTTACTAAATAACTTCAGTTTAAACACATGCTTTTGGGTATCAATATATGAGCATTTTTACTCAGTCTCAAAGTCAATAAATAGTTTCAACACATCTAAATATTTTCAACACAGCTATTTTTGTCTCTGTTGAACCCGCTAAGAGGTACCATTTGGAAATATTTGTTTTCAAAAGTCCAAAATACCATGCACCTCGACTCCTACTTGCCTAAGCTGTGTGCCCTATAATAGAGATCTGCTCTCTACACAGGCCTTATATTTAGCAAACACCCTAATCTTAATTACTCTCTGCAAGGCTGTCTCTTCCAGCATCACAGGTTCCTTCTTCTTGTTATGGAAAAGCTGCCCTCGAGTGCAGGAAAGGGTGCACAGAGGTTGCCATGGATGAAACAGATTTGGGGTCAGAGGGAGCAGGCTCCTTCATGCACATACCTAGTTCCTCTACCCTGTTTCTCATCCTTCTTCTGTATAACTCCCCTCAAGTATGACTAGAAAGCATTTTTATGTTTACAGCATCTCTTGTGACTGGAGGAGAGGAGGAACAGAACCAAAAAGAACACACAGCCCTTTTTCATGTGATTCCCTATCAAGACTAACATCCTTTAAGTCCTTTCAGCCCTCTCCATCTCATCTGATCATTCATTTATTTGTATTCTACGTCTCTCTCCCCAGATGCTTGATACTGAGCACCTCTTACACGTTCCTGTGTGCCCACCAAGCCTGCTGAGGACTACTGAATGCTTCAAAAGAAAGACAGGACACTCCAAGCCTTGGGCAAAATCTTTGCTGCAAATTTAATGGATGGCTGTTATTGCAACTACATTGTGTCTCCAATCTCAGCTGCTGGAGTAGGGGTGCAGACACCAGAGCCAAGAAAAAACAGACAAGGAGTGGAGTTTCCAGTTCAGGAGGTGAGACCATTAAGAAGAGACTTTGCCAAGCCCAGTCATAATCTACATCTCCTTTAAACTACACAGTAGAGAAGAGCCAGGCTGTCTACTGAACTCTGATTTTGGGGGCTTCTAGTTAAAATGGTCTTTTGCCTGGGGCTAGGGTCATAAGAGTCAGAATGGGAGGCAAATTAGGCTTAAAATCATGTTTTCACCAGTGTTTAATAAAAAATGTGAATGTTCTCTCAGAGGATGTTTGTAACTCATCAGTTAGCCTAGCTTGAAACTATGAATGATAAATAATTTAGTAGATATGCTAAAACAAGGATTATAAACATGCAAAGTGATATAAACAGTGCCTGATATAGGGAAACACTCAGATAAGCTCTGCCTTTGATTTTGGAAGCTGAGATTTTTTTAAATCCTCATGCTTCTACAAAGGCATAAACCCCTGCTATGTTCAATGTCTGCCAGTACCATACTGTGGTTTCTTAAATAAAGAAATAACAACAAAGAAGGACTGCTGAAGCTTTGCTCAGTAAAAACCAATTATAAACCAAGAAAACATAAAGAAATTAATCTATAAGCTTTTTTTTTTCTTCTGATCTAAGACTGCTGTAACTGATGGCCTGATTTATACCCTCAAACTTAAATACATTTGTTTATCCAAGCTACAAACTTGATTGTCTGCTTCAGAGCTGACTTGAAGCTAACCTTAAAGCTGCTTAATAAAGCTTAGTAATAAAACTCAGTCAAATGTTACTGTGTTATTAAAACAGTCTCTGCATCTTGGGTTATCCTTTCATGCTAAATACTTTTACAAAATCACTGAACCAAAAATATTAGGTGAAACTGACCTCCAATCCATAACCTGCTAGGACTGTACCCTTGCTGAGGAAAAAGTGAAAATGCAGGCTACTTTTCTGTGCTTTGCAACTTAGTGAAATATACCTTAAAAGCAAATATATGAAAGAGATAGATATATCTTTTACATATGGGATTGCAGATGTATCAAAGGGAATATGATAACTTGTTGAATATCAAACTATATTAAAAGACACAGATGTGTGGGAACTGATGAAAACATGACATTAAGGATGTGCTAGCATTTCCATTTACTTACAGCCCTCCCATTAAAAGTGCCCTGAGCATGGTATATATTTAGCTACAGTTCCTCTTTTAGTCACAAAGTGGAGGAGAATCTGGGTGTAAACAGCCTCAATAAACGACTTCACCAAGAGAATTTCCTGTTTCTCAGATATGCTTTTCTCACTGCATTTTGTTTCATGATACCCAAAATTCCTTTTGAAAATACACTTTCTAGATCTTAGTGCTCTCAAGAACTGCCTCAAGCATTCTCTTGCATGAAAATGAGGATTCCTAGTTTGTGGTCCTGGTAGAAGGAATTACTTGGCTAACATTTTGAGGTGCATCTAATGATTGCACTATGCAATTAAGGAGGGCACAATTAATTTAATACTTGGACTTTTTCCATAGCCTGCCATTTCCTAGGGCAACCAATGTTAGCCTAATCCTCAAGAGGAATTTTGCAACTTCCAAACTTCAGGCTATTCTGCATTACACCAATAGCCCCTGACTAAGGCATTTTGTGGGCAATAAAGCAGTAATTTCAGGGAATAAAAAACTGGCAGAAGTTTTTTCTCCCAACCAAAGGATGTCCTTGTTCAAGGAAGAATTCCTTGTGAGTCTTTCAGATTAATTAGCTTAATTTTTCCATTGCTGCAACAGGTGAAGGCAACTGTAGATAGATCAAGTATGCAGCTGTGTTTTTGCCTTATGTATATGGAAAGGCTTCTCATTTCCTCTTTCTGGTCTAGGACACTCTAATGAATATCAAAAATCCTCACTTCCACTGAAATGGACTTGTTTTTGATGTGTCACTATTTACATAGCAAGTCATATTAGAGTGATGCCTCAGAATTTTCTCTTCAATGTAAATATTTCAGCACATTGCTTACTGTATTTAATTTTTATTCATGCCTTACATAGAGTTGAAATCAAATTGGCTTGAAATGTTTCTTGTAAAATCATTGTATAAACCATATTTCTTAAGTAGAAGCATGTCTGAAAATAAACAGATTCATTTTCTGAATTATATGAGTTTATGATAGTATAACAAATCCTTCAGTGTTTTTAACATGATTATATGACACTTAGGTGGGAAATTGGGATTATATATCAAGTAATAAAGTTTCTGTAGACACCTAATAAATCAAGCTGCAAAATAACACAATCTGGATTCTCACCCCAGGACTTAAAATCTCTTTCAGGGATAAATAAGATTTATGCTCTTTAATTTTTTATGTTTGTATATTTTACATAAAGATTTTTTCTAAACTAGGTAGCTCCTGGTGAAAGTAACACAAAATTTATTATCTATCTTGATAGATATTGGTCCAAAAAATTATACTATTAGATGATCCCAAGTTGCAAATAGTGCCCTTTCTCTTCTTACATCTCCTGTTCCGATGCAGTAACTTCAGAGCTATCACCTTTCACAGGGAATTCAAGCAGTCATGAAATGCTACATGATGCCTTGTTTTCCTTCAGCACAACTGTCATTCACTTTGACAAAACTGTGAATGCACATGTATTTGAAACACAACAATCCAAATCAGTGGAGCCCAAGCTTCGGTTTTCAGACCTACCTTGGTCTACCAGAATAATTTCTCTGGTCATCGCTTGCTCCTCGCTAATACTGTCCCTCACATCTTTGCAACTCATCCTCTGTTTAACAGCAAAAAGTGTATTCCCTGCATGAGTTTATATCTCCCTTCCTTCAAGTGGATGTAAAGGAATCTATAGCAAGGAAGACTGCAAGCCAGATGGAGGCACTATGAATGAGCCTGCTGTGGCCTAAGAAACATTAGTTCTGACATAGACAGATAAACATAGATTAGTCAAGGCTGCACTTCCCACTAAAGGATCTTCACAATAATGCTGGCAGACTAACAGACATTTAGAAGTACACTGGCATTACAGTTCTTAATATCATTTTCTCAAAAAAGTCCTGCTTCTCCCTCCCAAAGAGCAATTCAGAAATAACTGTGGCAAGTTTTCAGGAACTTCAGAATTAATTTAGGTCCTGATTTGTGGTTTACTGTATCCTACTTCCGATCTTCAGCATCCCTATTCACTGTGGACCAGTTGCATGGACCTAAATGAGTCATGCCTTTCCTTTCAAATTGACTCACATGTTTAGTTGGGTGTGTTTGCATGATAATAGCCCTTCAAATAAAAAATGAGACAGAAGAATCATAGTTTCAAAACACAAAATAGCATTTCTCAGTTGCTTGTGCCAGGACAAGGAAATATCCTCAGCCTACACTGCAGGCCTGGAAAAAACTCTTCTATGGCAAAAATTCTTTAATATCCCCTACCATCTATATAATTGTGAGAGCATCTTTCTACAGAAACACCTTTTCTTGAAGCAGAATACTACTCCAGCTGTTACCTGGTGCCTCTCAGGTATTCATTGAGAAAGACCAAAATTAAATATTAAGATAGGTAAGAAAACAGCTTACATGATAGATGAGATAATGAAAATCTAAGTAATTAGATCCATCTAAGGAAGTATAGGAGCAGTATTAGTTGACGTAATGCAAGAAGTTAAACCCATATGAACTAAACCTATAATTCTTATTCTGATTACTTCAAATAATTTCCAAAAGTAACAGCTGTGCTTTTTAGAACAGGTTAGACAGCATTTGCTGCAAATTATTCACTAAATCAACTATCTACTTGGGGGAAAAGGAAAAACAAACAAAAAGCCCTATCTTTTTTTGGAGAACAAAGTGTTTGTCCAGGAACTGTGTGCTCAAGAGCTTGCCTAGTTTTTTAAGTGTAGTGATTGGAAAGATAACTGCTTTTCCCTAGAGATCCTGCCTTGCTTGTATCATTGCAACTGCATCATCCATGGTACAGGAATATCCTATGATTCACTGACTAGTAAGTCTGAAAGGCAGACCATTTTGTCCGGCATTTTGTCTAGCAATGTGCCAATTTGGCACACTTTCAAGGGTGTGTGAGGTTGTTGCTTTTCCCTTCAGATGGTAAGAGCGTGCTGGGAAGGCTCAGAGGAGCCAGCTGACACTGCCTCTCATCTCTGTAGCTGTATCCTCTGTGCATGAGGGAGCAGCTGCCAGCTCCACCCAAGTCTTGATGAATTCCTGTGGCCTCACTTGGATGTTTATCCAAAGATGCTCCATGACCATGGTCTGTGTCACTCAAAATCAGACTGTTTGTTGCCTTTCCTTCCTGAGCTATTGCTCCAGGGAACAGAAGGATGCCAGGATTAGCTATTTTTGGGAGCCCAGGTGATGGATAAGGTCAAGGAGATTCAGCCTGTATATTCCTAGGGACTGGAAAAGCATATCCACTAACCAGTTAACTTTTTTTTTATAGGTTAGAGTGTAATATCAAAACTGTCACTTAGATAGACCATTATGTTCTTCATACTCTCTTGTGGTCACTTTTCAAGTACATTTGCTGCAATTATAAATACAGAACCCTGTAGCTTCTAGAGTGACAGCCAGAAATTCATTCCAGCTCAGAGTACAAGGTTCGGCACTTTAAATACAGCAAGGGAGGGGCAGTGAAAAGCTGTAACTCTGTTAGACACTTCCACACAGACTTTTTCCTGTTTTATGAAAGCATAATATATTGAACAAAAATATATACAAGCTGAATCCACATCAAAGACATATGGGCTCTTAGTATAAAACCAGAAATTAGTATTTTGTCTTCCTGTTCTACTGACCTTCCAGCTGCCCCGTTTGCTGAAATGCCTTACTGAATGTACAAGCATGCCCATCATCCTTTACAAGCTCTAGTGCAGGGTTTTGTTGACATTACTTTATTATTACAATTCCGGATGTATGCCCTGCCTGTGTTTGCATGCAAGCAAAGAGTGAAGACAAAATCAAATGCTCTCATTCAGATACAGGTAACAGCAAAGAAAGCAGGTTATGCTGGAGACATTTACCTGCAATTTCTCTGCTGTACAGAGGTTTTATTCTGCTGTTGGCTCTCAAAGACATCTGTCATTTTCTTAGCCTGATTTGCTGGTTTGCCCAGATTATATTGTTTCTACCATAGCATTTTGCAAGTGCATAATTGCAGTACTTAAAGATATGTTCTTAATTTTGATATCTGTTTGTTTGTTTCCAATCACCCTTTAACCTTACAACCTACACGTATTCTCGTTTAATACACGCTTGCAAATTTCCCAGCAGGGGAGTATAACTCCCCTGGAACACGTTGTATATATATAAGCGTTGTAGAGAAAACAAACCCTTTCTGCACCTTGCCATTAGTAACACCAGAGCAAAAGCGACCTCCGAAGCCATCGAGCCACAGCGAGGCTCCCGAGAAAACACCCCTCTAAATGGAGCCCTCACTCCATGTCCAGGCTGTTTCTTTCTTTCTTTCTGGCAATGCCTCAAAACTCAACCCTAAACCGTGCCAAAGTGGGTCCGATCCTTGGGGCGTGTGAGCCACGCTGACCTGGCGCGGAGGTGCCGCGGAGCCCGGGGGCATCGGCTGCCGCCCCCCGGCTCAAAGCCCGGTGCTGGTCGGGGAAGGCTCGTTCCCCTGACAGAGACGGCAAGCCGGGGTGTTTGCGGTACAAAGCCCTCACGTAAGGGAGGGAGACGTGTCAAGGGAGCGCAAGAGTACCGGTACAGTCAGTGATGCTTGAACCTTGCGCTCCCCTGATGGAAAACAGCCCGCTTTCCAGCACGGCTGC